AGGCAGCAGAACCACTGAGCTAAATCCCTGGCCCAATTCTTTTTTTAAAAAATCATGATCTTAAAAGAATATATTTTCATTTGCTGATCTATCTCTCAGCTCATTTCCTGATAATACTGTATCTTTTTTGCATGAAACATTTTAATTATTAACAATGTATCTCACACTCAGTATAATTTTGAACAATTTCTTCCTAGTTCACAATATCTATTATTCTTTTTGGTCCTTATTTACACTTTCAGTTTCTCATACCAGAGAAACAATGCGATATTTACACATGTGTGTTTGATTTATTTCACTTAAGAGTATGGTTTCAAAGTGCATCCATTTACCTAGAAATGTCTCAAGTTTATCGTTCTTTATGGCTGAATAGTACTCCATTATATATTTATATATACAAAAAGCAGGGGAATACGTGGGTCAAATGGGATCTCTAATCCTAGTTTTTTGAGGAATCTCCACACTGATTTCCACAGTGGTTGCACCAGTCTACACTCCCACCAACAGTGGAGAAGGGTTCCTTTATCCCCACAACCCGGCCAACATTCCTTATTGGTTGATTTCTTGATAGCAGCCATTCTTTCCGGAGTGAGGGGGAATCTCAAGTGTTGTTAACACAGATTTAACATACTCTCAATCAAAATACCATTAGCATATCTCACAGAACTAGAGAACTCATTCCTAAAATTCATTTGGAATCAGGATAGACCTAGAATAGCAAAAAACAATCTGGGCAACAAAGGCAAGGCAGGGGCATCACAATCACTGACTTAAAATTATACAACAGAGCTTCTGCGATAAAAACAGGATGGTAGTGGCAAAAAAACCAGACCTGGACATCAGTGGAACAGATTAGAAGATGCAGAAAGAACCCCAAACATACTCATCCACTCTTTAACAAAGGGGCCAAACATGTTCATTGGAAGAAAGATAATAAATGGGGCTGGAAAAACTGGCTTTCTACATGCTGAAGACTAAAGCTAGACCCATGTGTCTCACCATGTACTAAACTAAAATCAAAATGGATCAAAGATCTAAATATTAAAACAGAAACACTAAATCTGCTAGAAGAGAGAATAGGTAGAACACTTGAGGACAGAGGAGTAGGCAAAGACTTCATGAACAAAACCCAGACTGCACGGGAAATATTACAAAGAATCAACAACTAGGACCTCGTCTTATTAAAAAGCTTTTGCATAGCAAAAGAAACCAACAAAGTGAAAACACAATGCAGAGAGTGGGAAAAAAATTATAGCCAGTGCAGGGCTGTGGAGAGAAAGGAACCCTTCTCCGCTGTTGGTGGGAGGGCAGACTGGTGCAACCACTGTGGAAATCAGTATGGAGATACCTCAAGGAACATGGACTGGAAGTGCCATTTGACCCAGCTATTCCCCTGCTGGGGATCTTCCCTGAAGAATTAAAGGAATCATACCACAGCAATGTATGTGCACCCATGTTTATAGCGTCACAGTTTGTAACAGCGAAAGTTTGGAAACAGCCCAAATGCCCATCAACTGGAAACTGGATAAAGATGTGGTTTTTTAATAAAATGGAGTACTACTCAGTCATAAAGAATGAGACCCTAGAGTCATTTATAGCTAAATGGATGCATATTGAGGCCATACTCCTAAGTGAAATAAATAGGACACACATGGGTAAATACCAAACAGTTTCTCTAATGTGAGAAACTGAAAGTGTAAATAAGGATTAAAATGATTAAAATGAACAATTGATAATTTCAAATAGGAAAAGGTCCAAAGGTGTACAGGTGGTGGGAAGGGAAGGGGAAAGGGAAGAAGGGAAAGGAAAAATTATGAGAAAAGAAAAAAAAATGGTAACAAAATCTATGTAAATAAGGAAGAATGGAGGGGGTGAAGGGCACACAGGTAATGGGGAAAAAATAAGAACCAAGATACATCATGTACAGGTACAAGTACCCAATGATAAATGTAAATGTATTATATACCTAAAATGTACCAATAA